TGAAAAGAGAATGTGAGGCTTCGTATGGTCCAGTCCCCTGCTTGGGGCAGCCTGGCCAGCAGTGCATCTGGTAGAGATGGATGTAGAGAGGTCCACCCGGGACAAGCCTCCACGGGCGGGGAACCCAGATCCCACAGGACGGAGCTGCTCAGCAATGTCCGACAAGGATGGCTGATGGTCGAGGGGTTACCGGGTGCCCGGCCCTGACCAAGCCCTGTCAGATATGTTATCGCCGTTCTAAAGATGAAGTCACGGAGGCTCGGGGGTGATGTGACTTTTCAGTATCAGCACTGGAGCTTACTGGGGTCTGGTCTAGGGTCTGTGCTCCCGACTGTTATGGCTCCTGCCTCCCAGGAAGAGTCTGTCAGTGTCCAGCAGGTGCAGGACGGCACTGAAGCCAGGTGTCTCGTGGTCAGAAAGACCCGACGGCAGCCTCTCATCCTGAAGGTTCAGACAGGAGGCAGGGATGTGTCTGTCTCCCTTTCCTGAGTCTGTGAGGGTCTGTGTAGAATCCTGCTGGCTGCCCCACAGGATTCTCTGGGAGTCTGTGTTCTTTGGGTTAGAGGAAGGAAGCCAAGGATGGGTGACCAAACTTCAACAATAAACAAGACTTTACTTACTATTTCTTCTCTTCTATCTTACATCAACCCACTAGGGGGGCATGCTATAGGAGCTCATATATATATACCGTCCATTAAAAAGATACCAATGGTATTCTTTCATTCATGAGGCATTTTTTCCACTTATGTATGTATTTTTGCATTTACACAGTAATTCATGCATTTATTACTTTTTTTTCCTTTCAATCATCGTTCTATCTCTCTATCCATTCATGCATGCTTTTATGCAGTCAGTCACTTATTCACCTATTTGTTCACATATGTATTTGTACACATATGTATATGTATTAGTTCATTCATTCTTTCAACAAATAAAACACTCTGAAATTAATTGAAGTCTCTGGAGAAAGGTGGAATAGTTTAACCATGGCCCAGGGTAGACTTTGGCATCTTTCTCATCATTGGGTGTAGAGGCACATGAAATTGGATGAATAGTGCCAGGGGCCCTGAGAGAATTATTGACCTGTGAGAGACACAGGCTAAATGTATCTTTGAGGCTTCCCTCCCCAGGCCTTCCCCATGGCCTGAGAATTTGTGGGGCCCCCTGGACCCCCTCAATAAGTCTTGGGACCCTGAGCCATCCTTGGGTGGCTCCTGGAACATAAGAACTGGCAGAATCCCCCACAGGGAAGCAATAGACGGTCCAGGAACCAGGGCTGTGGTGTGACAGGGTGGAAAGGAGGGGCTGTCTGCCCAGATGAACTCATGAGAGGCATACATGAATGGGGCAGGAGATGCAGTGAAGGGCATAGTGGGAATAAAAATACCAAGGGTCATGCCTTCTCTTCTTCCACCGAAGAGTTTCCATCCATTTTCTTTTTTTGAACTTTACATTCTCCCTGAAAGACAGGCAGGATGGATGCTACTGTGCCTGTTTCTCTAGTTGAGGTTCTGTATTTGAAAGCACAGAAACCATAAACACAGTCTGAAGATGAGGTGAGATTTCTAGCGATAGTAATAATATCGACTGCAAGCCAGGCTAAGAACGAGAGTGTTCCACACTTGGACGTGAGGTATTTGGGGAAGGACCTGCCTCCACCAAATGAGTGAGGATTAGAAAGAACTTTGCATCAAGCTCTGAGTTGGTGTCGTGATTACAGGTTGATTGTTTAGATGGCTTAAATGTGGACTTCTTTTGGTTTATTGAGATGGTTATTTGCTCTCACACTCAAATTTCCTTACTCTGCATGACTCCAAATGCATATACGTGTGCCTTTTCTGCTTTACAGACTGTGTTTTAAGTATCTGGCTGCAAGGATCCTTTTGATAAGTGGAACATTGACAAATGGCTTTCCCACATGCAGGCTGTATGGAGCACCTGTTAGCCCCAGAAGATGTTGTTAGCCATTATCCCTCTATGACTTCTTTCCTCCCAGCAGTGAAGGCAGCAGGGGCGGCCACTTGGAAACTTGTCCTGCCTCCCTTTAGACTGTACTTGACTCCCAAGGTACCCTCCTTCCCCAGGTATTCACGGAGCATCACCCCAAGGAGCCCCGCTCAGGTGGCCTGTTGTACCTATGTATCAGAACCCCGCCCACACTGAATCTCAACTCATGGCCAATCAAAATAATTCTTACTACACCGTGGTTTCCTAGGTAACCAGAGCGTCCACTTGAGAAGGACCACGGGAAAAGGAGATACACAGGCTTGCGTGTTCCTCTTTTGCGTTTACCCTGCATCCACCTCAGCCCCCAGCCCTGTGCTCACTGTCCAACCATCCTTGTGCTTATGGCTCTACTTGATTTAAAATACACAGCCATAACCACTCAGGGCAGCCAGCAGCATGGCCGGATATAATATTAATTTCTTTTCTGGTTTATTTGTGAAGGAGTCAACCATATATATCACTTTAAGTCACTAAGATAGAAAGTGAAATCGTATCTTCAGATAGAGAAGTATAGTGTGTTACCATTAAAATCTGAGGAGGATATGTGATCAATTTGAGGTTCTTAACGTGGGTACAGTTTTGTTAACCTTGCTTTAGATTACATGAAATGCTCAGAAAGTTTTTTTTTCCCCCTCCGTTTTGGTGGAAAGCATTGGGTACCTTTCCAGCAGCATCTCATTAGAAAGTCTGGTGTCTGCTGGACAGTCTCCTTGTAATGCCATTTTTCATGACTTGTTTAATTAACAACCATTTTTGACCTAGACTTGTTATAAAAGTGTTGCTATTCTCTCCTGCTAAATTATGTCTAATGAACATATTTGCATGTTATCAGATATAGCAATATATCATTTCAAATTTCAGCGTTTAAGCCTGCATCACTCAAAACAGCTTTTGTGGATTAGTAAGCAGGTGAAATCAAAAATCTCATTTCATATCTGACATTAATAACTTTCAGGGGGAATGAGCATTGGCATTTATGTCTGGACCAGAATCGAGCCCAATGTCCTAGAAACACAAGGGCAGCAGACAAACCTACTCACTAGATAGGAAAATAAATCATGCATAATGCAGAATTTCTACCTTACATGTTAATTAATGTGTGCAATCAATTACTGATGTTACAATATGAGAAAGAAACTGGTGGGGAATGGGGTAATAAAAAATACCTATAGATTTATCTGCTTCTTTTTTCTATTTAAACAAATAGTCTTCAAGCCTGTGAATGCTGTGTTGAGACATGCTCTGAATAATAAGCATCATAAAATCTAATCAGATTTATAAGAGGAATTGATTGTTGTGGCAGGAGGAGAGGCTGGAAAATAAGCTGAAATTTAAGTGTTAATTTTTATGCTAATCCACAGTGGCTTCATATGAAGCAATTTTGTTCTGTGCCACAAATATAAAATTGTCCCTTGCAGAGAAATGTCAGCTTGCTAGACCTGAAAGCAGTAATTTATTAGGTATGTTTCTATTAGTATGTGTCACAGTTGTTAGCAGGCTATACACACAATGGTGCTTCATACTTATCCTCCAAGTCTCAGAATGTTTCAGCTCAGTGGCTGGAACGTGGGGCATTAATACATTATCATATGCGGGGTGGTCTGTGCCCTGTGGACAAAAGGCTATTTAATACAATTTAATGTCATTCTGAGAAGAAGTGGAAAAATAAAGACGGGGAATAAAATGGCATCTGTGTGTTTCACAGTGCACTCATGCACAAACCCTCAGTTTAAGAGGTATGACATTTCTGCCAAGAAAAAGAATAAAACTGGGGCATTTTTTTTTATAACCTGTTCCCCACTGCAGTATTTTCTAAATGCTATTAAGTGATCGATTTACACGGCCCCATGATGATGTCATCCATAAGAAGGGGAATGCAGATGACAGCAAAGTACTGGTGACAGTGACCTTGTTTCAGAATCCTTGGAACCCTGTCAGCTTTGCTTCCAGTATATGGTTTCAAAGAATGTACTTTTTGGACAATATCTAGTTACTGGGTAGTGAATTAATAGAGTTAAGGGTTCTGATGCAATTCACATATAGGTCAATTACATGCGCCAACATCTGCTCTGTCACTATCATTTGCATATAGCATTCATATGTTAATGATGCCTCTTTTTACTCAAGTAATATATTTAAAAAACAAGATTTGCATATCAGTTTGGATCAGTATATTACAAGCAATTTATCATTTTCTCCTTCTTGTTATGATTTTAAGAACAATATCGTGAGTGATGGCTGCTATATTTGAGCAGGGCTCTGATTTATACAAGAAACCCTTCAGTGGGAAAGCTTCCATTCTAAAGCTGCTTAGAGCCTTATAAATCAATAATGACACAGATGGACTGGTGATAATCTATTTAGAATGCCTGATAGCAAATATTGTTGTACAGATGATTAGAGTGGTAACTGTTTTCGCAGAAAGCCTTTCCTCTCTTCGTAAATGGTAAGTTTGAACAAAAAAGTGCTCGCACATGGACTTCATGTCAGGAAATCTTCGTGCTGGGTCTGGACTGCAAAGGAGGAAAACATGGGGGGAAGAACAAAGACTTCCCGCTCCTGCCAATATAATCATATCAATCCCTGTTTCTTTAACAAAACAGGACCTCTTAATGGAATTGTGTCTTCAGGTGTAAATAGCATTAAAAGCTGCTTCTCCTCTCCTCTTTGCCCTGATACAGCGCAAGGAGTGAGAAAATAAAGTGGAGCTTGTCAGAAGTGGCAGCTGCTTGGAATCCTGATAAATATAAGCTTTTATTGATCTGATGAAAATGAAAGATCCCAGTGCTAGGCAGTATTTAGCTTCTTGTCTACAGCACGTCACCGGTGGCCTTGCATTGGGATAGATTTTCATTCTCAGACACCGGATTTGATTTCATCTTTAACCTTTTCAGTGGAATTTCCTTGACCTCTGCATATGGCTGTGATTTGGTGAATTTGTTACATTTCACTTTACATCATTTCTTTCTGTATTTCCTTTTGTGATAGGGACCTGGGACACCTCTCTGGCAATCTGTCAGTGCCTGGATCAGCTGCATCCTTTCTGGGGTATTTTCTCACCAGACTGACAGTCCTTAAGACAAGTATGCAGTTAAGCTGCTAAGGTAAGTCTTACGCTACTTGAACTCTTTGCCCTGGACACACATCATTTCCTCCTGCTTTGTCGTGTTGACCTAACACAAATCTTGACCAAATGGCCCTGCTCTCTCTCCTCCCGGCCAGGGGCTTCCTCCCAGCCTGTCCTCCACCCAGGTAGGGTTCCTCCACCTGCCCGTAAGCCCTGGGTGAGTGGTGCCTGCAGGACCCTTCACCACGGGGGAGGCATCCCTTTGTGGTTCCGGCATGTTTGGGGATGGGTGGGAGGGGGAACAAAGGAATCGTGAAAAAATGTCATTTTCCCCTCTGTGGCTTAATTCCTTTCTCAAGTTTTCTTCTGGGATAAATATGAGGCTTTAGTTCGAAATCCTGAGGTGCTGCTAACATATTCTGGTTCCAAGAAAGTGCCGCTGTTATTTTGAGTAGTTTTGATACAACCAAATCAAAGTGAAGATTTGAAATGGCTTTTCTGAAAGCCCGAGCTGAAGTCATAAATTATTCTGCACCATGATTCTTTCTGATAGTAAAACCATACCTCTTTGCCTGACATTGCTGAAATGTGGAAAAGTGAAAGTTAAAAATAAAATGAAACATTTAAATCTTGGCTGTTGAGAACCTCAGATAGACATCAAGGCCTGTCGATAAAGGCCCCTATCAATTAGGCTTCCACAGTTATCATCAGATTTGGTTTATTAGCAATTGCACAGGTGCAGGGTTCCCGTATGAAGACTGGGAAGGGCTAGGAAAAACGCAGGGAAATTCCATAAAATGGAAAGCAATGGTCTGGGCGCCAAAGTCCGCTTGGCGGAGGGCAGGTGGTGTCTGTCACTGCCGCGTGAAATCTTGAAGGAGGAAATTCCTGCAGCAAAAAGGTTGGAAGTTTTCCCTTTTTTACCCCTTTATTTGAGCTAGAAAGTGTTGATTTCACACCGTGGTGAGTGTTTCCCATCAGCTTCTTGGTGGGTGTATGCCGTGTTAAGAAAAAGGAGCAGCGAACACCAGCAGTTGCAGCTTCCGTCCGTTGATGGTGGCCTCCCCTGGCACGAGGACTTCCACGGAGCACGGGGGCTCCCCTGGCCATGGAGACAGCCCTCGGGCTTCCCGGCCCTGGGCCTCCAGACTGAGCTGTTTGGCTAGTTCCCTCCTCAGCATATCGCAGGCAGAACAATTTTTGGTTCCATAGCTGTTTGGTTGGGAAAACAAGCCTGCGGTTGCCAGTAAGGTTTAGAATTTGCCTGCCAGATAACGGAATGTCTGCGAAGACTATTTTCCCTCTTGGGAGGCAAAACACAGATGGGGGAGTTAGGAGTCTTACAATATTTAGCTGCTACATTGATGGTAGGAATTCTGCTGCGTGGATGCTCACAGTCTCCGAAGGCTCGGCTTAGCATTGCTGCCGAAGGCCTCAGGTAGGGGAGATTGGTGAGGCTGGCTTTCCCCAGGAAAGGGAGCACACCAGCTTGTTCTGGAGCTTTCCACGCTCTGTGCCTCTTGAAGTGGGAGAGGAGGCACCACAAGGGTGTGGCCTTGTCCCTTCGACCCACATTGGGATGGGAGGGGAACAGAGGATAAACCACCATGCTTGACCCGGTGGGAGGACTTCGGGGAGGAGCTGGAGTGACTTGAGCTTCGTCTGTGAATGAGACGTGGCCATCCTTCATGTTGTTTCTTAGACTCTGTAGAATAGACCATGGCACCGGCCTCACGAGGTTTTCTGCCACCGAGGCATGCATTTTAAAGAGTTAATCACGGGGCCAGCCCTGGTTGCCTAGTGGTTGAGTTCGGTGTGCTCCCCTTCAGCAGCCCAGGGTTGGTTTCTGGGCACAGACCTACACCACTTGTTTGTTAGTGTCCATGCTGTGGCAGCGGCTCACATAAAAAGGAAAAAAAAGAGGAAGATTGGCAATGGATGTTAGCTCAGGGCGAATCTTGCTCAGCAAAAAAAAAAGAAATAAAGAGTTAATCACCTTGGCATGTTCTGGGCCTCATAGAGGATAAAGAACAATGATGCAATTCTTGGGATTGGCCGTGAGAAGGCGGGAGATTTTCCTGCACGGAAAATGTACAGCTCGGAATAATTTTGGGGTCCTGTGAACTGGAAATAGGAGGGGAACTTGATATCCAAGAGCAAATTTTGTGCCCTGGAGACCAAGAAAGGGGACAGGGCTTAGGAACAGGTGGAAAGCATGTGGGCACCTCCTTCCAGGCCTCTCGCTGACTTTGCAGCCCCATCACCAACTTTTTAAAGTCTTATATGATGCCACACAAATGCAGCTGTGGGACATCCAGATGCCACCGGAAGCACCCTTCCATAGAAACCCTGTATTTCTAGGACTCTAGGTGACCTGTCGGTCACCACACCTCTCACACACATCAGAAAATGATTTAATATCCCACCACAATGTGCATTTCCAGAGAAACCTTGCGAGGACTGGAGGCAGAGCCACGAGGTGTGGCTGTCCAGCCCTCTTTAGCTTTATCCTTCAGAAAGGCCCCATGCTTGGTTGTGAGGCCCGGTGACTTCCAGAAGGAAACGGCCCTCAGAGACCACAGGACCTTCCCTCCATCTGACAGACACAGAGTGGCCCCTCCTGTACCCAGAGCACGTGCAGGACCCTGGACTTGGGGTGCTGACCCGGCTGTGGCTCCCGCCGTCCCGGGACAGACGTGTGAGTTCACGGCCTTCCCGCAGCGGTAATTACCATAGTTCAATGCTGCAGGAGCAGTTCTTTGGGAGTACGGAGGAGGGAGGGAATAATTGTAATTTCTGTGTGATAATGATGATAAGCCCTGCATATGTGTGTGGGGCTCTGCGTCGTATTTGATTTTCACCAGGAAATCTCCAGGCTCACAGAGGTAAAGATCCTTGCAGACTCCTTTGTAGCCGCCAAATGAAGTTAGGAAAGTAAGGCCCCATTACTCTCACTTTGCCCGAGAGAAAACTACAGTCAGAGATGATTGAACTCTAGAGGGCAGGCGGAGCGGGGCAGGTCCTGGGATCATCTCAACCCTCACCAGTTCCCTAGCAGGTAGATACTGCTATTAGCTCCATTTTCCAGATGTGAAAACTGAGGTCAGAGAAGTGAAGTAGGCTCCCTCAGGTCACACAGCTGGTGGATGGTAAGGCCAAGGTTGGAGCATGCTTCTTCCTAGTTCTGGAGCCTGATCCCTTGGCCATGGTGCAGCCCTGGGTATGGCCTTGGACGAGACAGACAAGCTCCCTGTTCTCAGGGAGCTTACACTGTGGGGCTGGGAAGCAATAAACAAGACAGCCATGGATAAGATGATGTCATATAGTGATAAATGAGGAAACATCTGCGCTGGGGAAGGGGGAGGGGAATGCCTGTACTTGAGAGGGGGGTGGTTGGGGATGGCCCCCCGCCCCCCTGAGGAAGGCACATTGGAAGTGAGAGGTCTGAAGGACACGGAGGAGCCAGCCAGGTAAAGGTCTGGAGGAAGAGCATTCCTGGCAGAGGGAACAGCAGGTGCAAAGGCCCTGCAGTGGGGAAGAACTTAGCATGTTGGAGGGACAGAGTAGGCCAGAGCAGAATGGGGAGAGCTGACCCCATTGACAGGGGCCACTCGGCTCTCACCAATTGCAGCCACTTGGAGATGCGGACAGAATTTTTCTAGGTCTTCTAGTTTTTAAGGAAAAAAAGTAAAAAAAAATAATCTGGTTCTTTTTTATTCTCCAATGTTGGCACTAATTTAAGTTTTTTTAAATCTTTCTGCAAACACAAGTATATGTGTGGACCACATGGAGCTGCAGCCTGCACTTTGTGACTTCTGCACTCAGCACTGAGCAAGGGGCATACACACGATGGGCATGCAGTAAGGACTGGCCAGTGATGAGCCGGAGCTGCCCTGGCCCCAGGAGTGGGCCACAGAGCCACCCCTGCTCATGCCAGTCGCGGGGCTGCTTGGGCCCCGCCTCGTCTGAGGCTTGATTGGGTCCTCATGTGTGGCTGCTCCCCTTACTCTGCTCACGGGTGTCATGGAAGGGACAGTCCTGACTCTGCATCAAGCTGATTGGAAGCTCTGGGCTGCAACTGGACATGGCGGCCTGAGTTGACCCTGGGATGAGGCGGAAGGACAACGTGCTTTCTGTTCTGGGAGGCCACTGGTGTGAAAGAGAAAATCTGCTCAGCCCACCCATTGCCTGTCCCTTCCTGGTCCCGTGACTCTGCTCCTTCCTGCAAAGGTGACCCATGTCCTCAGCTCCCCTGAGAGGCGAGCAGCTGGCCCGGCCTCCTCTGAGGAGGGGGCAGACCCCTATACAGCTGCCTGCCGGCGGGCTCCTGCAGGGTGCTGGGAGCTAGTGCCTGGGAAGGGGTCGGCTCTTCCCTGGCCTCACTTCCTGGTGGCCGTGCCCGGCTCCCCTCGTGTCCCTCCCTCCCGTCCACATGCAACATGGAGTTTCTGTGTGTGTAATATTATTTGTTTTTATTTCTGTAATCCCTTTATTGTTTGCACAACTGCTGTCAGACTGTTGCCTGAAAGTATCACAGGATAATTGCAGAACGCCTGCATAAGTAATTTCTTATGAAATCGGGCCTTGTCTGCATATAAAATTGTTTTTCGTGGCTGCATACATGGACTTCATTATACCGAGGCTGTTTACGGGGCTTGCACCTTCCCCACGGGCCACAGGAAGGGAGGGCCTGATGCTGGGCAATAATGAAATACTATCTTTATTCTTTTTTGGTCATATAACATTTCTGGAGGGTGACAGTCGGGCCGATGTGGTCAGAAAAAGCCCTGCCCTGGAAGGAGGGGAGGCGAGGGCCCAGATGGGGACCTGGGTCTGGCTCTCCAGGCTGCTGGGGAAGGCCAGTGGCTGATCTGGCTCGCGCTGGGCATTTCTTCCGACCACATTTCTGTGATATTAATGGTGTGTGGTAGTGAAAGAAATGTGTTTTATTCTCGAGTCTAACCCTGCTGTTATCAAAGTAACTTCCAGCTTATTAGCGACAAAGGACTTTTCTCCTCTCTGCTGCCCTGTTCGCCA